AAAAAAAAAAAAAAAAAAGAATATCATGTATTAAAGCCAGGCGTGGTGGCACATGCCTATAATCCCCTGCACTACAGGGGCTGAGGCAGGAGAATCACCACGAGTTTGGGGCCAGACTGGGCTACACAGTGCGTTCAAGGTCAGCCTATACTACAAATGAGACCCTAACTCAAAAAGTAAATAAATAAATAGAATTTTTTAAAAAAAATCAAGCACTAAAGGGTTCAAATCAGTCCTAAATATCAGAATCTTACATAATTAAAGTACTACAGAAACTATAAATGCTTTCCTAGGTACCTATTCTGGGCTGTAATAAATGCTTACTTTAACAAAGACTTACATTTGTTATTTCTTTAGCCTCTGTTTTGGGTTCCTTGTTGGTATCTTGGGTTTTAGTAGCAGTTTTAGAGGCAAACATTCCCATAATTCCTTTGGGCTGATGGGAAACCTGTTTGGAGGGAGGTGGGCCATGACCATTGGTGGTCAGCTCATTACTGGCGGGTGTCTCATTTGATGCCTGAAGATTTGGCTGCTCAAATTTTCTGGAAGATGAGGATTCTGCAGGAACTCTGGGGATGGCAGCTGCACACTGTATAGCGCTAAACCTAAGGAGAGAAATGAGAGAGTAAACTGATTTCAGTAGCAAACCTTATTTTCAAACTCTAGCTTCTCTCACATAATACATTCTAATCCTAATATTAAAATATTAAGGAATTTTAAACTAGAATGGATTTTTAAAATTTTGGTATAAAACTCTCATTTTTAGAGAAACAAGTATTAAGAGAGAAGTGACTTGTCCGATATTATACATATAGTTTAGTAACAGAGCTAGGATTGGAATCAGAAGTCTTCTACCACACCATATTGAATACACTTGCTTTTGGGGGGAAGCAAAGCAAAGCAAAGCAAATTCAAGAATAAAAACACACCAAACAATCAATTAAAGATTTAGTAATTTTACCATTCCTGGGGAACCAATCATTATCCCTTGTTTAAAACCTTCCTTATAGGGCTAGGTATATAATAAATATTGACTGAATCAAAATTAAAAGTTTTAGGGCTGGGGATTTAGCTCAGTGGCACCACATCTGCCTCACAAACACAAGGTCCTGAGTTCGATCCCTGGTACTGAAGGAAATAAAAACCCAGAGAGTTTTAAATATTAACAAGTTTCCCCAGTAACTCTCCTGGCTACAGTGGGTCATGCTTTAAAACATGAAAGAAGCTGGGAATGGAGCCACTGGCTCCTATAACTTGTAGTCCTTTATGGCCACTTATTAATTTCTAGTAATACCATCTAATAGTACCAGCAAGCCATTGCACTGAAGGCCAACTGAAGAGTTTGGTGAACCTGCATATACACTTACTAGAACACTCATATTTTCTACATTATAGATATGGCTGTTTCATACAAATCTGGAACATAATGCTCCACATGTTGTAAATGGATAAGTGATTCATACACCCTTCTCAAAGGGTTTAACTTAAAGCAAGCTCAACTTTTCCTTAATAAAGAAAAACATTTTAAACTGCCCCCCGCTCCAGTGGTTTGCTTACTGAAGGTAGGTGAGAACTCTTTGAAGGTCTTACTCATCTTTTTTATTTCAGGTACTCAGCACAAGATCTGGCACACAAGTTTGTCAGGAGAAACATGCTAAAAGAATGTCTGTTTAAGTGTCTGAAAATGAGACATCTCTCTTTGGTGCTTCAACTTGGAGTGGGAAATGGGGGAGGTTTAGAAAATATGTGGTTATGGCAATTATCAGAGATTATAGGCACAACTTCAAGATTAAATGATAGAATAACTGGCCTATGGAAAAAAAAATCCCTGATGAATCATTTCAATTCAGAAATAACTTTATATTGAGCATCCCCAAATCTAGAGTCTACAGCTCCAAAAGTTGTCCACTGATTCATTTTGGTCCACACAAAAAATCCTAACACACATCCTTGCTACACTGTAGCTCAGAACAGACAGACAGCATTTATTTTCACCCACTGTTCTTCCTGTCTAATTCTCCAGTGCTTCCATGTACAAGGAAAGAGCAATGTCTTATTTTTATTGTTAGCATCTAAAGTTGGCCCTGACACAACTCCTTCTCCCTCAGGTCTGCATTCCACACCTTCAGGCCAGCACTGGGAATTGGTAATGAGGAGGAGACTAAGTCTGGCTGGGAGCTTGTCTGAAGACAAGAATTTCTGCTCAATCCTAAAATGTCAACTTTCCTCCTGCTACAGCACTTCTTAAAGCACACAAAATCATGAGTCAGATCTCAGTTGGCCCATAATTGTCAGAACCAACCACAAACTTCATTATTGGAAATAAATTCTTCACATTTCTACCAACAATACTGTAAGTATTTAGGTAAAGTTCCATTAAGTGCTTCCTATTATTCACATTTCTACTTGTTCTCTATTTTAGAGGGCCCTGGGCAAATTCCATTTTTAACTTTTGAGTCATTTTTATTCTTATTTGCTTACTTGCAAATAGATAAAACAGAACTGGTTTTCAGAACTTGAACTGCCAAGACAAATTTTTAATACAGATTTTTTTTTAAATCTAGTAACATACTTTATATAAACTTATTAGGATATTAGTGTTTTCTTGAAATTCTTCTCCAAATGATTCCAGACTTATATATTATTACTCTTCAGTTATACATTATAAACTTATTTACTAAATATGTGTATGCCTATTGCATTCAGTTTTGAAATAAAGGAAAAAATGTCTACCATTAATTCACTCAATGATTATTTACTGAATGCTTACTATGTGGTAAGGTACCATTTTGGGTATAAATAATAGAGACTGTCCCTATTTGAGAACTTAACCTATGTTTGGCAATTTTATATCTATTTCTCCTCATGGAGCTGTCTCTATCAGTTACCCCGCCTTCTCCAGTATCTTCAACCATTTTCTTTCTATGACTCTTTCCTAACACCACAACTTCAAGTTACTCTCAACTTTCAAACTATACACATTTCCTTGGTCTTAACTTTCCTAGCTACTCCCTCTTTTTCCCCCATTTTAAAGTCAAATTTTCTGGAAAGAGTTGTCCGTATTGGTTGACTCATTTTCTCATGTCCCTGTTTACTCAGCTGATAAGAATCTGGTCCCTGAACTGAACACTCTTACCAAGGCTATCCACTAGATCCAACTTACTCTAGATCCAAATTCCTATCTTACTTGGCTTCTTGGCAACAAATGGATACTATCCACCAGTCCATCCTTGAAACTCTTCCCTCAGCTTCTGGAAACCCATCTACACATCATTTCCTTTTTATCTCTGGGTCTTGGGACCCACTTTTGCTGTCCATCCCTTAAAAAACAGCTATCATAAAATACTACTATCTGCCAAATGCTATCGTAAGAGTTTAACATATTTTAATTCTTTTAATCCCCCTACAGCCCTATGAGGGTGGCACTATTATCAGCTTCACTTTACTGATAAAGAAGCTGAACAACAGAGAGGTTAAATAATTTGCCCATATGGTCACACAGCTAGTAACTATGGCCTACAGTTTCTTTCTACACTTCTTTCATTCTATACATTTTCTCTGCATGACTATCTATTGCTAGTACCCAGTTGTTTGCCTATTATTCCTGATTTGAAATCTTTACCTTTACTCTGATTCCTGGTCCTGCTCTTATATTCCCTTTCTTAGTGCTCAGTAGTCCAAGCCAGGAACATGGCATTATCCTTAACACCATGAACAGCAGCCCCACACATACCTTGTGCCCAACCAATTATTTTGGTTTTATGAGCCAGGGTCTTACTATGCAAACTGGATCAACTTTTAACTCATTAAGTAGCTCTGGCTGGCTTCAAAGTTGCAACCCTCCTGCATCAGCCTCCTAAGTGCTGAGATTACAAGTATACATCAAGTATGCGCCACCATACTTAGCATATATTGAAAATTTTTTGACGGTCATGACTCTTTAACCTTCATAACTCTCCACCCAACACCACTATGTTATTTAAGATTATTGTCATCTCTACCCTGAATTACCACAATGTTTCTCCTCTCTCATGACCTCATCTCCAGATAATTCTCTTCTGATCTACCTTCAACATCTATTAGAGTCATCTGACTAAAGTGCAGTTCTGGTCAATTAACTCTATCCAATTAAAAATTTTCAGTGGCTCCAAAGTGTTCTTTAAACTCCTTATCCTAGTAATTAAAGCATTATCAGACTCCAATTAGTACGCTTCAGTCTTCTGATTTCCTGCCTCTCCATCCAAGTTCCAACCAGACACTTACTGTGAGTCCACACAAGCACTGTGTTTTTTCTTATCTCTGTCTTTACTCTTCCACTTCTTTGTCTGGTTATTTCTACTGGGCCTCAGGCCTCAAATTAAGGCACCCTTACCTCTAGGAAGCCTCCTCTGTATTGCCCCCTCACTCTACCCATGTAGAAACGACACAGAATGCCACACCCACATGTGCCTATACTATTCCTCCTATGACAACACTGACAATCTGTACTCTAAGTGCTGGTCTCCCATCAAACCATCAAACCCAGAAGCAGACACTGGGCCATATTCACTCTACAGTGTATTGCATATCAGATTCATCAGATGTCTACTTGATGAATTCAAATGATCTCATTTAGTTATGTGTCAAAGTAGTGGTACTCACAATATATTTGAAGAACTAACTTAAGCTCCTACTGTCACCCCACAAAGTAGGCATTATTATATCTTATTTAAAGACAAAAAAACTAAAGTTTAAGTTGTCCAAAGCCAAAGTGCTATTAAGCAGCAAATCACAAATCAAGCCTACGAGCATCAATTTCCAAAATAACCCATGACTCCCAGTGCTGTGAAGGATACAAAAGATTTACAACATCTGATTCTGGCTATGGAACCTCAAGAAAAATTTGCCTGTGGATGGAAGGCAGAAGGATATCAAATTAGGAACAGTTCTTTAAAGGACAACATCTGAACTAGCTCTTGAATGATGGGTAGGATTTAGACAACAAAAGACTGGGGCAAGGGAGTAACGAGGGGCACAACAAATATTTCTGGTGGTGGTGACAAAATAAATATATGAGAAATAGATTTATGGGGAGTCCACTGGGATATTCAATATGGGTTGTGGCTGCTATTTTTCACCTTATGATGTACTAATAAAACGAGGCATTTGTCTTACTGCAAGATAAATGGGGTTTCACTAGACTTGGCACTCACTCTTAAGAGGCAGCCACTGTGTAAACATCTTACAAAATCAATTTGTAAAGAAGCCCACAAGGAACATTAAGGAGCTTACTTGCTGCAGTTCTGCAAGTTGCTTTTAAGGATGTCATAGTCAGTATTGAACAGAGGCCCACTGTCCTTTAGCATAGCTTTCTGGATGCTGTACACATGGATGCTGGCAGTCACAGCTAGCTTGGACTTCACTGCTACAAGTCAACAGGAAAAGCAGTCTGTTAATATACAAATTTCATAGCATGTGGGGACTTAAGAAACCCTTCTACATTAAAACCATTTGCAATCTGTGGTGATCCAGAAAAACTCTAAAAGGCTCAAATAGCCACATATACAGTATAACATCAACTCTTCTGTCTGCAATGGGGACATTATGACAAGGTAGGTGGTGGTGAGTCATTTCTAAGTATAACACCTGTGAGGGTATCACTCATCCAGTGGACACTCAGCAAATATTAATGAATGATTGATGATGACTACGATGATTGTCCCCAGATGCCCAGTCAGGGAAGAACCTTGCACTAACACATAAAGAGTACTAAGTAATATATACCTGAGAGGATTCAATTTGTATCCCAATTTTAGTTTACAGAAAGCAAAAATATAAAAAGTATTACTAACTAGACAAGTCTACAGAGGAAAAACAAAAGAACGTCATAAAGAAAAATTTTAGATTCTACAAGAGAGAATGTGCCTAACTTGTTTCATGTCTCTGGTGCCTAGTATAGAGCCTAGCATGTAACAGATAATCTATCAACAGAATACAGAATCTTGCCTTGCCTACCATTGCAGGTACAACTGCCTACCAAACTGAGAAAGAAAAAAGTAGATAACCTTACTACCTTGAACATTTCAAAACTGATTTGGTAAGAACCCTCTACCTCTACCCCACTGGAAGTAGCCTGTATATACAAAGCACAGTACTAAGTTTTGTCTTGAGACAGATTCAAAATCATGAAGACCTTATTATAAAAATTTTTTTGAATTGATGTTTTAAACAATAGAATAGTGCATTAATAGTCTTGAAACAGTTGGATTTAATCTGTAAGTCTTTCTTTTAGAAAAACATTCTGTAGTTTCTTTAAAAAAATACTGCTATGAAACACAACACAATATTGAAAGGGTACTTTTTTACAGTTGATGAGATGCCCCATATGGTATTCATGATAGTATTTTGTGTGTCTGTCACGAGTTTTAAAATCTTGTGACAAAAGTGCTTTTTATAAATGTCAGCAGCTATTGGCTTTAAAAATGGGAAGTTAGGCAGATATAGTATCATATTTTAATGCTTCTGAAACCACTAATAAAAGAAATATAAGGTTCTTCAGCTAAATAGCTAAAATATTATATGCAGATGTTAGGGGCAGACTTTTTATTATACCTACATTGCTGCCATGAGAGGAAAAAGGAAAAACTTGCTAAACCACTAAAAAGCTTACCTTCTAATTTATCTTCTCTCACTACTGCAACCTTGTGGCACTGTAAAGAAATAACACTTCATTAGTCTTCAAAATAGAAGAACTTGAAATTTTAAAGTTTCCTTGTCAATAATTCAATTGTACTTGGATATGAGATTAGGAAAACATTAGTATTCCTAAAATATATGTTCTGTTTTTATTAAAGTCAGATTCATTTTTAATTTGTGTACTTTAAAACTTCTCAGCAAGGTTAAGGAAAACAAGAGTATAGATATTGTGACAGTTAATCCTGTCAACTTAATTGGTTTATGAGATATCCAGGAGGTTAGTAAAGCACACTTCTGGGTGTCTGGATAGGTCATGGGGGTGTGACCTTGAGGACTGTGTCTGATCCCTGGCCCTTTCTTCTCTGGCTCTTAAATGCAATGAAATTAGCAGCTTTCCTCCATTATGCCCTTCTGTCATGTCCGATTTTGCCTTGGAATCAACTGACTATGGACTGAAACCTCTGAAACCACGAGCCAAAATAAATGTCTGCTCCTTTTAAGTTGTGGGTGTCAGTGTTTTGCCCTAGCAAAATAAAGGTGACTAATACAGATATCAATTCTACAATACAATAAAATAAAGCATCTCAAATCAGTGAGAATAGAAGAATGTTTAATAAGTGATTTAATGAGAATTACTGTATAACCGTACAGAAGCAGGTAAAAACTAGACCTGCCCCATTTCATATACCAGGATAAATTCTAAATGGGTCTGAGATTTAAACATAAAACAATAAAGACATATATGTAATAGGGGAGGAAAAAGCAGGTGAAATCTTCTATAATCTAGTATTATCTAAGAATGAAAAAGAGCTTCCTAATATAATTCAAAATCCAGAAGTAACTGAAATAATCTGTAAAAGTTAATATAACTTTTGGACAAAACCAAAAAATTTGTAAGTACAAGAATAAATAATGAAGTGAGAAAAAAAACTGGAACTTATATCACAAAAAGGTTAATAAAGCGTCTAAAAATAAAAGATTAATTTAAAAACCACTAATACCTTTAGAAAAATGGTCAAGAGATATAAACAGACACAATTCATAGAAAGAGGAATGCCTGAACCATATGCAAACACATGCTGTGTGGAAACTCACATATTGTCAATGAGAATAAAAAAGAAGAGAGGCACTTGGCTATTCCAACAAAAGTCCATAAACATTTATCCTTTGACCTAGCAATTCTACTTCTAGGAATGTAAACTTAAAACACTCTAAAACATACTAGCAAAGATATATATAAAACTCATATATATACTGAGCTACAGACTGCAGTACTATCTGTAACAGCCAAAGATTATAAACAACACAAAAACGGACTGCTGATTCAGCTAAAGTATATCAATGGAGCCTTATGTGGCTATAGTAAGGACAAATAGTTCTGTAACTGCTATGAAGTAATACTTAAGATCTATAAAAAAAAAACAAAAAACAAAAAGCAAAGTACAAAATAGGTTGTATAGCATAAAAACTTATCTAAGAAAGAGGAGCAATATAAATATATAGTTGCTTATATCAAAAACATACAAGAACAACAAAAACAATAGAAGGGAAAGGTAAAACCAGTAAAATTAACTATGGGAGCTACCTATAAAAGAAAGAGAAGAACCTACCCCACTGAAAGCAAAATGGAAAAAAAAATTGAGTTAGTTTAACTAGTTACTAAATTGGTGGATTTTTTATAATGAGAAATTGTTTTGAGTATTATAAAAACACAAGCTATTCTGTTTTAGCCACCTAAAGTTCCCAGATTAAAAACCCTATCATAATGAGTTACAGTAAAAATCTACAAATTTAATAATTTCCTCTTTCTGGCTCCCTCCTAAAAGTAAGCTATAATCTTCTGTTTTCAGCTTCCTGAAACCTATCTAACAAGTATTTTGCCTCAACAAGCACTAGCCCCATGGACCTGCCCCAATAACCAGGGTTCCTTCCAGAGATCTGCTAATGTTTTCCCTTTCCCTTTTGACTTTGCCTCAAAATCCTAGGTTTAGAACCCTGATCTTCCAAATACTGAGTGGATTTGTTTTTTAGCAATAGATTTCCAGCATGGGAGATAAAACTGGAATGTTAATTTAGTAATTTAAAAGGAGAAATAAAACTGCTGGAGCAATCAGTTCCTCATATTCTCTAGCCAGCATTTTCTTTCCTTATTGGCAAACCATTTGGCAGGCTTAACAATAATCAAGATATTTTCAAGTATAGAATCAGATCTCATTATTATCTGAGAAAGGAAATTAAGCAGACTTGATTCATTTACTCTCAGAGATAAATCTGCCACCAGAATTCTCTCCCCTGTATGGTTCTCAAATGGATACTGTCGAAGTTTGTAGCTACATGTCATGTTTTCTGTTCCTAGATTTAATCTCCTCATCTCTTTTTACTTACTTTAATAAATTCTTAACTTTAGATCCTAGTTCAGAAGATCTGCAGACTCAAAATTTTATATCAACGTATGCATTTCTCTTCAGATTCTCAAAGGGATCAGTGAACAACAACAAAAAAACAATCACTGCAGATTGAGTATCTCTGGTACAGCAATCCAAAATGCTCTAAACTCTGAAACTTCTTGAGCATGAATATGTCAAAAAAATTAAATTCTGAGCCTGTTGTGATGGCACATTCCTGTAATCCCAGCACTCTAGGAGGCTGAGGCAAGAGGACCTCAGTTTCAGTTTGGCCTGGGCAACTTCTTGAGATCTTGCCTCAACATAAAACAAAAATTAACAAAGGGCTACATATACTTCAGTGCAAAGGCCCTGGGTTAAATCTCCACTACCAAAAAAAAAAAAAAAAAGTGGTAAATTCTAAACCATTAAACTCTATTTCGTATGGGATCCCAGTAATGAATGTAACTGTGTTGTATACCTAGATTGTACCAATAAACTCAATTAAAAAAAATTAAAAGAAAAAAAACCAAAACACTTTATTTCATGCACAAAATTATTAAAAATATCATACAAGACTAACTTCTGGCCATGTAAGACATATTTGAAACTTAAATGAATTTCATAGACTTGGTTCCCAATCCTAACATACCTTAATAAGTTTATATAAACATTCCCAAATCCCCCAAATCCAAAAATCTCAAACATGTCTGTCCCAAGCACTTCAGGTAAGGGATACTTAATCTATATTTTAAAGGAATATGATTCCCAAGTAAAAATTTGATTATAACTAGCTTTTTTCTTTTCTTGTTGAACATCTGAGTTGTGGGTTAAAATTTGAACAGGATCAAAATTAACTACAATTGCCCCCAGTATACCTTCAAGAAAAAAGTTGTAGGAAATAATGTAAGTAATTTCCTAATATCCTATTGCCCAAAAAACTGAGTAATAATGATATAGTTTCTGCACCACAGCAAAAATACTACCCAAACTTTCCTGAGTTTTAGATTCAGTCTAAAATTCCAAAATGTTCGTCTTCTTCAATTAGTATTTTAAAACTTCCATAATACTAAATCCTTTTTTTTTCTTTTTTTCCCATGTTAGGTGATAACTCTGTTCATAGTTTCAACACATCTAAGTTCATCACGAGATTCTGAAAACGTGACCTGGACATGGCAGTGCACATATAATCCCCGCACGTGGGAAGCTAAGGCAGGAGGACTGCTTCAAATTCAAGGCCAGCCTGGACTCACTGTGAGTTCAAGCCCAGACTAAACTACACAGACCCTGTCTAAACAAACAAACAAACAAACAAATTCTGAACACTTACAGTATGTCCATTCTGAATGAAACTGCCAGATACCAAATAGGTGACATGCAGTTGGGCTCCTGAATTCTCCTTCCGTTTCCTTTCAACATAATCATACAGCATCCTGTTTGAAAAAAAGGCAAAAGCAATTCATTAGCAACAGTTTTTAATTATGGCTTAAAAGTTAGATATAAAAATCTGAAAGTGCATCATAAACAGAAGAATTTTTACTCAGTCTATGGACAGAATGCTTTTTAAAGTATAGACAATAGATGTACTAGGGAGAGTGGGATCAACTTGTCTAACTTGCACAGTGACACAGCAACTAACTGAAATCTAAAATAGGCCAAAAGGGACAGAACTTACATTAAAACAGTGGCAATAATACATAAAGGATAAAATAATCAAGAATATGTTTAATCACTAGCTAGCTATGTGACCCAAAGTAAGCTATGTTTTTCTACATGAGAGATAAAATTAGTGACTTTCTTAACCTGATTCATTTGGCCTTCTATAACCGGCTCCCACCTCCAAAATCAGAAATTATACATGTGTTTTTTTTGTGGAAAAGACAGTTCAAGGTTTTCAATAGATTCTAAAAGAATTCATTATTCTAAAACATTAAACACTATTATGTACATGATCACAAATCTCTAGCTCTGAGATTATAACTGCAGAATGCAATAGTTTACTTATATCACCCAGTACGTACCCAGAATTAATAACCTGAGAGAGCCAAACACTAAATGCAGAAATAATGTTGCTTTTAGTAAGAGCCTTAAATTCATTTTTGTTTTGTGGTACCAGGGATCGAACTCAGGTCTTTGTGCTTGCAAGGCAGGCAGCGGAACCACTGAGCTAAATCCCTGGCCCCTTTAAATTCATTTTTATCTCCAGCATCCAGCAAATATCAGAAGTTGACCTCTTCAATAATTTAGTTTAAGATCAAAGATATCATTTTGTATTTTATTTCAAGAAACATTTACTGAGCTTCTATGACATAATGTGCTTCTGCCAAGGACAGCCAAAAACTCAAAAATTTCAAGAGAAAGTTTTTACTTTTTGTCCATTTAATATGATGCTGGCTGTTGGTTTTTCATAGCCTTGATCAAACTGAGATAAAGACCATCTATTCCAATTTTTCTGCAGCGTTTTTATCATGAATGGGTGAATTTTGCCAAATGCCTTTTCTGCATCTACTGAGATGATCATATGGTTTTTGTCTTTGACTGTTAATACAGTGTATTACATTTATTGATTTACATATGTTGAACCATCCTTGCATACTTGGAATAAATCTGACTTGGTCAAGGTATATGATCTTCTTGACGATCCTCTGTATTCTGTTTGCCAATATCTTATTGAGGATTGCATCTATGTTCATTAGGGCTATTGGCCTGTAGTTCTCCTTTTTGGTTGGGTCTTTCCCTCATTTTGGAATCAAAGCAACAGTTGCTTCTAGGAATGAATCTGGATGAGAAATTAGATTCATTCATAGGAAAATGGGTACATATTGAGGATAAACGTTAATTGAAATAAATAAGTCACACATGTGTAAATACCAAATAGTTTCTCTGGTGTGGAAAACTATAATAGTACATAAGATCCTAATGATATAATTTACAATGTGAAATAGGAAGAAAAGGGCTAAAAAGGTGTCAGGAAAGTGGGAAGGGTAGGGGAAAGGTAATAAGGGAAAAGAAAAAAATATGAGAAAATGAAAAAATGGAAATAAAGCGTTTGTAAATGGGGAGGGTAGGAGGGGATGAAGGGAGGGCAGGGGCAAGGGGAAAAAATGAGAATCAAGACCTGTCATGTAAAAGTACAAGATCCCAATGATGAATGTAACTGTACTGTATACCTAAAATGTACCAATAAACTCAATGAGAGAAAAATTAAAAAAAGGAATGAATTTGGAAGTATTGCTTCCCTTTCAATTTCACTGAAAATTTTAAAGAGTAGCGGCAACAGTTCTCTAAATATTTTGTAAAATTCAGCAGTGAAGCTATCAGAACCTGGGCTTTTCTTTGTTGGTAAATTTTTAATTACATTTTCAATTTCACTGATTATAATTTGGGTGTTTAGAATTTTTTGATCTTTTTCATTCAACTTTGGTAATTCATATGCATCTAGAAATCTGCCCATTCTTCTGTTTTCCATTTTATTAGAGTACAGGTTCTTGAAGTAGGTATTGATGGAACAAGACAAGCATGTCTATTATCGCCACTCCTGTTCAATATAGTTCTGGAAACATTAGCCACAGCAATTAGACAAGAGAAAGAAATAAAAGCAATAAAGACAGGAAAGGAAGAAGTTAAAATGTCATTATTTGCTGATGATACAATACTCTACAAAAAAGACCCAAAAACCTCTGCCAAAAGACTTCTAAACTTAATTGACATTCTCAGCAGAGTGGCTGGATACAAGGTCAATACTCAAAAATCAATAGCCTTCTACACAAATAACAGACTCACTAAGAGAGAAATTAGGGAAACAATTCCTTGCACAATAGCATCCAAAGAAATGACGTATCTAGGAGCCAATCTAATGAAGGAACAAAAGACCTCTACACTGAAAACACAACACTCTGAAAAAAGAGATAGAAGAAGATATAAGAAAATAGAAAGGTATCCCTTGCTCCTGGGTAGGAAGAATCAACATAGTGAAAATGGCCATACTACCAAAACTATACAGATTCAATGCAATCCTGATTGAAATTCCAACAGTATATATCACAGAACTAAAGAAAACAATACAAAAATTTTTTAATTTGGAACACAAAGAGAACTAGAATAGTGAAAACAATTCTAGGCAACAGAGATATGACGGGGGTATCACAAGCCCCAAATTGAATCTATACTATAAAGCCACTGTGATTAAAAACAGCATAAGCCAGGCGTGGTGGCTCATGCCTGTAATCCCAGCACTCGGGAGGCTGAGGCAGGAGGATCGCTGTGAGTTCAAGATCAGCCTGGGCTACATAGTGAGTTCCAAGTCAGTCTCCAGTACATAGTGAGGCCCCGTCTCACAAAACAAAACAAAACAAAACAAAAACAAAGCAGCATGGTACTGGCAAAGAAACAGACCTGAGGATCAGTGGAATAAATTGGAAGATAGAGAAATAACTCCAGATGTACTCAGCTACCTCGTCTTTGACAAAGGGGCCAACCATCCTCAGTGAAAGATAGATAGCCTCTTCAATAAACTGTGTTGGAAAAATTGGATTTCAACCTACCAAAGACTAAAACTAGACCCTTATCTTTCCCCACGCATTAAACTAAAATCCAAGTGGATTAAAGACGTAAATATTAAAACAGAAACACTAAACTTGCTGGAAGATAAGTTAGGTAGAACTCTTGAAGACATTGGCATAGGAAAAGACTTTATGAACAAATCTTCAGTAGCACAGGAACTACCACAAAGAATGAACAACTGGGATCTCATTTATTAAAAAGCTTCTGCACTGAAAAAGAAACCACCAACAGAGCTAAGAGACAACCTACAATGTGGGAAAAAATTTTACCAGCTATTTCTCAGTCTAAGATATGCTGCCTAGAAAATATACAGAACTAAAAAAAAAAAAAAAAAAAAAAAAAAAAAAAAAAAAAAAAAAAGATATAAAGATCCGATTCAAAAATGGCCATCTGAAATGAACAGACATTTTTCAGACAAAGAAGTAAAAGCAACAAATAAATATATGAAAAAAGCAACAAATAAATATATGAAATAATGTTCAACATCGCTGGTCATTCGAGATGCAGATTGAAAACAACACTGAGATTCCACCTCACCCCACAAAGAATGGCTGCTATCAAGAAATCAACCAATAATAAATGCTGACGGGGTGGTGGGAGAAAGGAACCCTTCTCCATTTTTGGTGGGAGTGCAGACTGGTGCAACCACTGTGGAAATCAATATGGAGATACCTCAAAAAACTAGGATTAGAGGTTCTATTTGACCCAGCTATCCCTCTGCTGGGTACCTTTCCAGAAGAATTAAAAGAATCATACCACATGTGCACCCCTGTTTAAGTGGCACAGTTTGTAATAGCTAAAACTTGGAAATAGCCTAATTGCCCATCAACTGGAGAATGGATAAAGATGTGGTTTTTTTCCTATAAAATGGAGTACTACTCAGCCATAAAGAATGAGAAGCTAGTGATTTATAGGAAAATCGATGCATACTGAGGCCATACTCTTAAATGAAATAAATAGGACACAAGTGTAAATACTGAATCATTTCTCTGGTGTGAAAAACTAAAAGTGTAAATAAGGTTCAAACTGTATAACTGATAATGTGAAACAGAAAGAAAAGACTAAAGGAGTAGGTGAAGTGGGAAGGGTAGGGGAAAGGAAAGAGGGGAAAAGAAAAAATATGAGAAAAGGAAATAATGGAAACAAAGTATTTGTAAGCAGGGAAGAGTAGAGGGGGTGAAGGGTGGGCAGGGGTATGGGGAAAAAATACGAACCAAGATACATCATGTAAAGGTACAAGATTCTAATGATAAATGTGGCTGTATGATAATACCTAAAAAGTACAAATAAACTTAATGAAAAAAAATTTTTCAAGAGAAATTCAACTCTCTCTGTTCATCTTTTTTGAAGGGTACCCTCTTAGCTTCTATAAAGTCATGCTCCACTATGGTTCCTGCCTCCTTCTAGCTACCTTTGCTCTATTTCCTACACAGACTTCTTTGCTTTCTCCCTCTTCTAACTGTGGGTATTGGTAAAGAAAATCAGCCCATTTCGCCTGGGTCTGAGGGGTTTCCTGGGACATGTGATGTTTTGGGCCATTCTGCTAGTCTCCTTGCTCTATTTCAGTGATGGCAAACCTTTTAGAGACCAAATGCCACATTGCAACCCAAAACACACTAATTTATCACAAAGTGCCAACAGGGCAATTAAACCTGAATTCTGGGTTTTAATTTAGAAAAAATAACTCTATGTTAACATCCTTTGTCTTAAAAGAAAAACACAATAACACGCATGCCATAGGTTCATCTCTCCTGGTCTATTTCATTCATCCCTATAGCTTATTCTATCCCTGACAACATTTGCTCATCACAAAAAATCTGGGAGTCGTTATTTTTCCCTTCTCCCTACCCAGTACACTGCCAAGTCTCAT